ATATGGCAGGCAACCAACTTGGCTTAACAGTGAAATCCTTGCTGATCTTAAACACAAAAAAGAAACTTACAAGAAGTAGAAGATTGGACAAATGACCAGGGAGGAGTATAAAAATATTGCTCAGGTATGCAGGAGTGAAATCAGGAAGGCCAAATCACACTTGGAGTTGCAGCTAGCAAGGGATGTTAAGAGTAACAAGAAGGGTTTCTTCAGGTATGTTAGCAACAAGAAGAAGGTCAAGGAAAGTGTGGGCCCCTTACTGAATGGGGGAGGCAACCTAGTAACAGAGGATGTGGAAAAAGCTAATGTACTCAATGATTTTTTTGCCTCTGTCTTCACAAACAAGGTCAGTTCTCAGACTACTGCACTGAGCAGCACCGTATGGGGAGGAGGCGACCAGCCCTCTGTGGAGAAAGAAGTGGTTCAGGATTATTTAGAAAAGCTGGATGAGCACAAGTCCCTGGGGCCAGATGCACTGCATCCGAGGGTGCTAAAGGAGTTGGCGGATGTGATTGCAGAGCCATTGGCCATTATCTTTGAAAACTCATGGCGATTGGGGGAGGTCCTGGATGACTGAAAAAAGGCTAATGTAGTGCCCATCTTTAAAAAAGCCAAGAAGGAGGATCCGGGGAACTACAGGCCAGTCAGCCTCACCTCAGTCCCTGGAAATATCATGAAGCAGGTCCTCAAGGAATCAATTCTGAAGCACTTAGAGGAGAGGAAAGTGATCAGGAACAGTCAGCATGGATTCATCAAGGGCAAGTCATGCCTGACTAACCTAATTGCCTTCTATGATGAGATAACTGGCTCTGTGGATGAGGGAAAAGCAGTTGACGTGTTATTCCTTGACTTTAGCAAAGCTTTTGATATGGTCTCCCACAGTATTCTTGCCAGCAAGTTAAAGAAGTATGAGCTGGATGAATGGACTATAAGGTGGATAGAAAGCTGGCTAGATCATCGGGCTCAATGGACAGTGATGAATGGCTGCATGTCTAGTTCGCAGCCAGTATCAAGCGAAGTGCCCCAAAGGTTGGTCCTGGGGCCGGTTTTGTTCAATAACTTCATTAATGATCTGGAGGGTGGCGTGGATTGCACCCTCAGCAAGTTTGCAGATGACACTAAACTGGGAGGAGTGGTAGATACGTTGGAAGGTAGGGATAGGATACAGAGGGACCTAGACAAATTAGAGGATTGGGCCAAAAGAAATCTGATGAGGTTCAACAAGGACAAGTCCAGAGTCCTGCACTTAGGACGTAAGAATCCCATTCACTGCTACAGACTAGGGACCGAGTGGCTATGCAGCAGTTCTGCAGAAAAGGACCTAGAGGTTACAGTGGAAGTTGGATATGAGTCAACAGTGTGCCCTTGTTGCCAAGAGGCTAACAGCATTTTGGGCTGTATAAATAGGGGCATTGCCAGCAGATCGAGGGACGTGATCATTCCCCTCTATTTGGCATTGGTGAGGCCTCATCTGGATGTGGAAAAATTGGAAAGAGTCCAGCGGAGGGCAACAAAAATGATTAGGGGGCTGGAGCACATGACTTATGAGGAGAGGCTGAGGGAACTGGGATTATTTAGTCTGCAGAAGAGAAGAATGAGGGGGGATTTGATAGCTGCTTTCAACTACCTGAAGGGGGGTTCCATTTCCAAAGAGGATGGATCTAGATTGTTCTCAGTGGTACCAGATGACAGAACAAGGAGGTCTCAAATTGCAGTGGGGGGAGGGGTTAGGCTGGATATTAGGAAAAACTTTTTCACTAGGAGGGTGGTGAAGCACTGGAATGGGTAACTAGGGAGGTGGTGGAATCTCCTTCCTTAGAGGTTTTTAAGGTCAGGCTTGACAAAGCCCTGTCTGGGATGATTTAGTGGGGGATTGATCCTGCTTTGAGCAGGGGGTTGGACTAGATGACCTCCTGAGGTCCCTTCCAACCCTGATATTCTATGAGTCTATGATTAACAAACTGGCAAAATGAAAGGAGAAGAAGCAATAGCCTTGGTTCTGAACATAACTGGTTGTTAACTGAGTTCCAGTTGATGAAACTTTGGACAGGATTGCTGCCTGTCCCAGGGAGAAACCCATGAAAAGGGAGCAGAGGGGAAAGAGAACTCCAGGAGGCTGACCTTGCAGGTTCCTGAGCAGCCTCCCTTCAAGAAAAGAGAGGAGTTTAGGAGCTGTAGAATTTGCAGAGTGAGGTCTCCCAACCTGAAGTCCTGAGGATTCAAGGGGAAGGGAACCCAGAGCCATAAAGACATGAGCCATGCTCCAGGGATAGCTTCACCTCTGCATGGCTGGGCTGCACTGGAATGACTTCACCCCTGGAAGAAACCCTACTGCTATTAGCTGGGTCTCCCTGCAGCTGCTCCCTGGCAGCCTTGAACAGGACCCAGAGAGTCAATGCCACTGTTAACTGTACTAACTCCCAAACAGATTGGATCTGCAGGGCATGGTGCTGGAGAGCATAGCCAGTCTCCTGTTCTGTCTCTTCACACTCAGTGGAGGGGCATCTGTGATATCCCAGGCTGAAACAGGGGAAATGGTGCAGCAGTGGTATCACTGTCCCCCTTCTGGCTTGAATTTAAGTGGCTTTTGCATGGGCATGTGACAAACAGGGAGTACTAGAAGCCTTTCCCCCATCCAGCCCAGCACCTAAGCATATGAAGAATGATGCTGAAGTCAATGACACTACTAATGTGTTTAAGGATCAGCACATGGTTGTGCACTGTGCCGAACTGGATCAATATAGTAGCTGTGCAAGAGCCTCTCACAAGAGCAGTCCTGGTCTCTCTACACTCTGGTGAGAACAGAGACTCCTGGCTTCTGTTCCCCATCCTCCCACAGCAAGATACAGAAAACGCGGCAGGGAGGATTGGGGAGGAGACAGTCACGGCCCTCTGCCCATCTTCCATTCTGCAGAGTGGAGCTGACTCATCAGGGAGAGCAATTTGCTACAGTCTAATGGATGGAACAGATTTCACACATCCCCAGGAGCACAGAAAAAACCCTGCAGAGGGGCATCACATCAGGGCAGGGCATCACCAATCTGGGCAGTAGCAAACAATGCCATGAACTAGCTTATCATGTGGGATGGGGAAGTTTTGCCAGAGAAAGGGTCCCTTCCTCACAGGTAAGTGTAAACTGATGCACAATTTAGAAAGAACCCATTCAGCTTTTAGATCCCAGGGATTGCAGGCAGGCAAGTAGAAAAATAATCATGTTATTTGTAAAGTGAGGACATGTTAGCTGGAGTCACGGAGAAATGACAAACATATGGCCTCCGTGGGTATTTTTACAGAGTCCATTTACAGAGTAGAACCACAATTTCACATTTAAAAAAAAATATATATATAGGAAAGAAAACACTGTAATGTCCAAGACCTTTATCTCCTTAACTGGCTGTGGCAGCTGTTTGCATGGGCTGCTCAGAGTCTGCAGAGAGGCTTTCAGGGTGACAAAGTTCAGGCTAAAGCAGCTCTCCAAAGAAGAAATAGCAATTTGAAATCCTCACCACAGACTTTTTTCTGCCAATAGCAGAGAGAAAACATCCTAAGCATTTTTGTCAGTGTTTTATGGCTATGCTGTTTTTTCTATCTTTAAAATTTAGAGGGAACAAACTTAAAGGTATTTATAAACAAAGGCTCTATGTAAAACAGCTAGCCTCTTTATCTTGAATTCTGTATTCTAATGACTTGTCTATTATGATTCATTAACAAAAGTGCACCAGGATCACAGAGCTACAAATACTCTTCTGTATTTCCTGTCACTCTCACATAACAATAGATGGTAAAAGTTAAAAAAAAAACCCACACACAAACCACAATAATAATCATTGCAAATAAAGTATTTTAAAGCTGGTGAGGCAGATATTCAGTTATGCCTCAGCCCTCTCTTTTGCTGTGAGCACTAAAAATGTGTCTGCATTTTGCTACCAAAAATGAGCTAGCAGCTAGAATAATTCTTGGATGTGTGGGTACAGCCAGGTCGTTAAACATCTACCAACTAATATTTGTGATCACAGTTTTTCATGGGTGCAAAATTGCCCCTGTAAAACAGGAGTTCTCTTCTTTAAAAATCTGTCCCTTTGTTCCAAAACCAAAAAACATCTCTTTTCTGCTACTAACACATGTTATTCCTTCCCTCATATGTGAGAATGGGGAAGAGGGGGACAGATTATCCCACATCTGTCTACTGCACCTTTCTCTGAATCCTCTGGTGCTGGTCACTGGTGGAGACAGGATACTGGAGTAGATGGGCCTTGGGATCCAGTACAGCAAATCCTATGTTTCCAGTACTGTTTCCATGTTCTATTCACAGCCAAGTCTCCCAACTTGCTCCTTTTCTCAAATTCACACCAAAATGGCATCCCCTCGCATGTACTGGTGTATCAAATCAGACATTGCATATTTGTTTCATTTTGGGATCAGACTTTCTATACAACTACACATATATATTTTTAAAAAGCGAGAGAGACACTCCAAACACAGGCTCTTCTAGTCCATATCACCATATTATGAGCCAGATATCACTCTCTCAAGAATGCAGGTACTGGAAAGTCTCAGCCTTTACCCTCCTGCCTTACTACACAACTGAATAACTATCTCACATCAACCGCAAGCCCTGCTCCATGTTAATAATTCCCCATTCGTATCCTATTCATATCCTAACCTATTCATATAACGGGTGCTGAAACGAAGGGTGTGTGTGTGTGGTGCTGCTTGAAGTGGTTTCCATCGTATGCAGAGTTTACAGTTTGATTCAATGGCTCTCAGCACCCTCACTATACAGATTGTTCTGGCACCCTGGTTCATGTCTCTTTTGCATAGTAATACAAGTGCCAATGGTATTCTGATGGTATTTGCTTAAGAAGTACTTTAGGAAGCCACATCGTCCCGGCCAGTTGCTCTGAACCACTGATAATATTAAAATCCTATCTAATTACATGCACTTTAAATGTTACATCATTGCAACTGATGCAATTATCTTGTACTTAAAGGAAACTGACCATTTGCTGATGCCAGAATCATGGCTTGAAGCATTTCCGTATCAAACTGGTTGTTTGGCCAAGCTCCACCTTCTTCTCCATTCTGGGAGCTAAGGAAAAGAAAATAAACAAAGAGTTACCAAAGGCTCAGCAGAGAGGGTGGGATTCTGTCAGATATTGCCTGTAGAAGTACCATGCTCTGTAGAGAAAGTTAATGCTATTGATTATTATAAGGTCACCCATTAAAGAAATATTCTAGAGATAAGACATTCCCCAAGGCCTCGATCTGTGTCTGGAGTTTTAAAGAACAATGATCATGAAGGGCTTGATTTTACAGGTATGTAGGTGCCTAACAATGTAGATAGCTGCTCAGTGAGGTTTTCACTAGGGCCCGGATCCACAGAGTAACTTAGGTGTTGCCATGCTCAGTTTCACAACACCTAACTTTGAGGTGCCAAGAGAATCACTAGAACAACCCTGTGAACCACAAAGTCTGATTTAGGCACCTGGGCTTCCTATACAACACATGGAGAGAGACAGGCAACTTAGAATGAGATCCACAAAAGCTAGAGCCCTGGCCTACCTTATAAATGTATGTCGGTATAACTATGTTGCTCAGGGTGTGGGAGTTCTCCTGTTGGTGAAGGTAGCATCTTCACTAAGCGCTACAGTGGTGCAGCTGCACTGGTGCAGCTGTGTTGCTGTAGTGCTATAAACGTAGGTAGGCTCTAAGTTGAGAGCTGCCTAAACTAGCCAATGGCAGATGCTGAAGAGAGGGATGTGTGCTAAGCCCCACCCCTCTAACAGAGATCGGTATCTAGATCCAGACTGCAGGGAGGCACCTAGCTATCCACAAATCCAGATAAGACTCCTCCTAACTGTCATGTGGGGTCTGCTCAAAGGTCGCCTAACTCCACACACAAGAGCTGGGGAAGAAGAAGTGACTACCTCATAACCTGTAGCTTGGTGGCTTGGGTATTCCCCCCAGAGATGGAAGACCACCAATTCAAGTCCCCCTCCGCCGCCCCCCCCCCCCCGCTCCGTACCTGATAAGTAGGGCTGGTGGCAGGGGTGAAAGTAACTTAAAGGACTTACCGGTACTCCGGAGTCCTTAGAATGGGGCAGGGCCTCAACCGAAAGAGGCAGGGCCTTTAAATCCCCGGGCACTTTAAATCACCATCAGAGGGGGCTCCCGGCTGCTGCTGCCACCCCGGGGCCCCAGCTTCTGGCGGAGCTTTAAAGGGCCCAGGGCTCCACTGCAGTAGTGGCAGCCGGGAGCCCCTGGCACTTTAAATCAACGCCAGAGCCCCGCCGCCACTACCCCAGGGCTCTAGCAGCAGGGCTCGGGTGGCGATTTAAAGGGCCACGGAAGGTAGTGGCAGTGGGAGCCCTGGGCCCTTTAAATTGCCACCCGAGGCCCTCTGCCAGAGCCCTGGGGTAGCAACAGCAGCCAGGGGCTAGGGCAGTGATTTAAAGAACCCAGGGTTCCGGCTGCCCCTACCGCCCCAGACCCTTTAAATCGTCCCCAGAGCCCTGCTGCTGGAGCCCTGGGAAGGCAGCAGCGGATCTCCAGCGCTATTTTAAGGGCCGGGGCGGTAGCGGCTACCGCAGCCCTGGACCCTTTAAATAGCCGCCGGAGCCCCACTGCCGCTACCCCAGGGCTCCGTGGATGATTTAAAGGGCCCAGGGCGGTAGCTGTGGCAGGAGCCCCAGGCACTTTAAACCGGCGCTCGAGCCCCGCTGCTGCTTCCCCAGGGCTCTGGCAGCAGGGCTCTGGCGGCAATTTAGAGGGCCCGGGGCTCCAGACGCTGCTGAGAGCCCCAGGCCCTTTAAATTGCCGCCAGGGGAAGCCAATCCGCTCTGGTACTGTGCACCGGCTCTTGCTGGTACGCCGTACTGGGGCGTACCAGCTTACTTTCACCTCTGGCTGGTGGTTTCCAGAAAATGCTGCTATTGCCGCAGGTTTTTTCCAAAATTACTTTCATTTCTGGAATCCCAGATCAGAGGGTGAGCAAGGCACACAGGGAT